CACGAAGGAATAAAGCCGGATCGATAGCCAGCGTTGTTTGTAGGAAGGAAAAACAAAAGACTCCGGGAATAATCGTGGCGCCAATAATTTGTTCCAGCTAAAAAACGCCGCAGCCAACGTGTTGCGCGAGACGTGGCTAATTTACAAGTACACACGGATCGTGAAACGTGTCAATCCGGGACGTGTTCGAACGCACCAGCGGAAATTTCTGTTGGCTATATACGCGTAAGTCAATAAACTGACTCCTGATTGACACCCGTAGCCTGGCCTGCGCCCGGGGCAATTAATATCCGCATCCGTAACGCAAACTTTCAGGCTCAGGAAAGTGAAAATGGATCAGCGAAAATTAATGGACAACGCCAACACCATCACGGATATGGCCAAGGTATACTCGACCGAAAAGATTATGCCCCGTGTGCGCGTGAAAGCGAAATCCTCAAATATTTCCGTACCCGTGTCCATTCAAAACTGCACTGGAAAAATATATACGTCTGATTCATATTCTCGGCATCCTCTTTCTATACTATCAGGAACACCGCTTTCACGCCGACACGTAGCGCAGAAATTCGATTAAACATCCGCCAGCCGAATAATGGTCTCTTGTATTTTCCGAACAAACTCTTCAATCATGTGACAGAAAACTCAATAACTCTTTTTTTCCACTGATTGGACGCCAGTATTGGTCAATCATGGCTTCCACTCAACTAACGAAAGTTTTAACGATATTACACCCCTAGCAAAATATCGGAACCACCTTCAATTCCACGCAACCAATCGAGCCTTGCCTCCGCCACGAAATCCAAATCTTCCTCCAGAAACCCACAAAAGTGAACACCTAACGCGGCGACTCTAATCGAATCACTGACTCTCTGCAGACGCAGAACACAGTCTACGAGATCGTCTCGGACATGAGCACGCGTCAGGACACCCTCGAGGAACATCTGGTGAGCCTGGAGGAGCGGCTGATCGGCCTAGAAGAGAAACTGACCGGCCTCCAGGGCCAGCTGGAGCTACTGCCGGAGGAGCTGACCAGGTGTCTGGCCCAGCACACGGAGCGGATGGAGCAGAGGCGCAACTTCCTGCACCCGGACGCCGCGGTCGCGATGGCGACGTCAGGCGGGGTTGGCGGCGTGTCCACCGGGAACAGCCTCTCGATGGGGATCTCGGGCAGCAACGTGTCCGCGCATCATCCTCTGGCCAGCCTCTCCAACTCACCACTGCTGCCACACTCGAGGAGCGTGCCCAGCGCGCCCAGCACGATGTCCTTGCACCCGTGGCCGGTCAGCCCGGTCCTGCCGCCGATCTCGAGCCGAACGCCGCACCTGGTCCCCGAGACCGGGAAACACCACAGCCTGGCACATTCCACGGTGGCGACTACGACCACGTCGCAGTCGGCCACTAGGCTCACCTCGCAGTCCGGCATGGGAGGGCTGGGCAACAGCCAGGGGTCCGACAAGTCCGCACACAGCTGAGTCTCGTCTTTGCAGCCGCAGCACTCTTACTAAGGTGGATGCCGACCGAACCGTCGGCGACACACCCGACACGACGCTCGCGTGCCATCGAGTCCCTCCTGAACGACCGGCTCTACGAGCCTCGTTCCAACTTTCTCTCTGTCTGACCCTCCTTCTCTCTTTGTCTCTCTGTTTCCTTCACTCTTTCGGGGATAGGAAGTTTCTTCAGGTCCACCCGGTCCACTGGTACGACAGCTTGTGGCCCGGTGGAGTACGGCTGGCGGTGGTCCGACGTCGGCGCTAGGTCGAAGTAGCTTCTCGATTAGCGTTCCCTAGGGTACTCGGGTACTGTCACTGGTACTGTGACCTTTGGAACAGTTTTGTAACGGTAGTAACCTGGACAGTTCCGGATTTAGGAATCCCGGAACGCCAGGATGTTAGTTCTATCCGATTTTTGGGTATAGCGAGTTCGGTAGCTGTGTTTCCGTCGAACCGTTTCTTTGAGAGTCTAGGGATCCGGGCTCGCCTAGTCGTCGACGATCGGACCCGGCCGCTTCGTCTTTCGTAACCAGATGAAACGAAAGTCTTGCTGTAGCATAAACAACGGGTCCAATCCTCTTCCCGATCGACTGTGTCTTCTAACGAGAAGCTTGAAATGAAAGGAAGAATACACACGCACACGTACACATACATACATACATACATACACACACGCGCACAGACAGACGCTAAACATACACAGAGACACTTGGAACACGTACGGACACCGAACAGACAAAACTCTGGACAGCTGGGAATCGACGATCCAAGGTCTCGTAGAGGTTCTCGGATGCGTGCGTGTAAAAAAATAATGGAGGGACTCACGGATACGAGCGTCCTCTTCCACTCGCTGCGAGCTGCTCCCCTGCCCAACTTGCGTGCCTGAAAACTTTTTTCTTAATATTTAAATATATATTCGACACACACGAACTCCATCTTATCTCTGTATACCTCGTGAAAGGGAAAGGAACGGACGCGGACAGGCGCACGGACCTGTAACGTAGCCGAGACATCAAGAGGAACGTCGCGACGTCTGGCCAACGACGAGAGACCAACCGGGTGGCTCTTAAGATGGACGCTAACGGCGAGGTTCCCGCGCAGTTTTCTGCTCGTGGAACAGGTGATAGCGATTCCGGGGAATAAATTAACGGATACCCGCGTGGTATATATTTAACTATTTTAATTTCGCCGCAAGCGGACGACAAAGTAGCGCGGAATATTTTATGAACACTTTTGCACGAGACAGATAACGGATTACGGATCTCGCGGGGACCTAGACCGCGTCTCCGATTAAACAAAAAAATTTTTAAGTTATTCCGAAACGGGGACGGTATTCCCGGTCACGTCCAACCCCTAAAATGTCACTGGCGCACGAGTTGTCTCGCTGTCCTGCTTACCCCCACGACCTGATTCTTATGTTTCCCGCTGATGGGGTGAGAGATAGCCGAAAAAAAGAATTGTGTATCATGTCCCCTCGGCGTTCGTGCAAAGCCGGAAGCCGCACGTTAAGGTCACGTCGTGCGTTTTCTTTTAAATTATGCGTTTCCCGCCCTCACCGTTATTCAACCCCCACGAGTGACAACGGTTAAAACACGTTTCCGAATGAATTTCTTTCAGCTAATTTCTCGCGCGGCATCGTCCTTCATCGTAGTCCTTGTATTCTTCAAATATTATTATTATTATTATTATTATCATTAAGAACCGCTGATTAGAAGGTTCCTCGCGTCACTTCGCGATCATATCCACCGACAGTTAGCTTCCGTTACCGGAGAACGTTTAGTCGGGCCCGAACTCGAGAGTTTTAAACACCAATTCACGGGAAGATAGGGAAACAGTCGCAGTCATTAGCATCCCTGGTCGAGTCACATCAGAAACTTAAGGGCCACCACGAGACCACGAGAAGTGAATCACCGGGGTTGATGGAGGGAGAATGCAAAGTGATCTTATCCGCTTTAACGTCCGTAGGTTACATAGGATATTATATTGTTAGCGTATACAAAGTGTATGTACATGGCGCACGGGTACAAAGGCTATGTTTCCGCCGAAAGGGGGAATTTTTTATAAACGGACTACGCACAGCGGCGCGCGCGCGTGTGTGCGGAGCGGTCCGATCGCGTGGCATGCCGTAAATATTGATTTTATCGAAAATTCTTGGGCGGACAGGAACGATGCGCTTCAGAGAGGATCGACAAGATTCATCGGAGCCCCCGATAACACTGACTCCCCTTTTCCCTCCCAATAAAAGAACATTCTCGCCGCAGAAATGCGACCTTGTGAGCGATCCTGGCCCGGTTTCTCGAATCTAATAATACTTTTGCGACAACTTTCGACCGGGGACGCGACAGAACGTTGCAAAAAAAAGGGAAATGTTTGCGGACAATGCATATCGGCGCGGGGATTATTTCGGAATTTCAAAATATAGGTCGAATCCGGGTCGCGCGGAAACATACGTATATAGCTTGAGATGTGTCCTGCACGCTTGCCGCGTGAACATTTCCGACAGAATGCTGGCACAAGAATATAAGAGAATTTCCAACGGACCCCGTATAATAAAACTTGTTCCGAAGAATCTTTCTGCCGCGCAACAATCGCGAATAAAATCAATATTCACGAAATTGCGGGTTCGCGATATACTCGATGTATTCACGCGATCAGCGCGTCCCGCGTGCACGCCCGAAGCCGTTGCCAGAAGATAGGCTTAATTAAACGAAATACGACTAGAGACAGATGGGAAGCAATCGATCCGCCAACGACATTTCGTTTCGCGTCGGCTGCTGGATTGGGGAACATGGTCCTTTGAACAGGAAACCAATCACTCGAATGTCATCAGCGTAGAAGGAACATCGAGTAGCCGCATCAAGAAAGTATACAAAATCATTTCCCAAAAAGGAGTTATGTTGATAGGATTCATCCGTAGCGATCGTACATGAATTTCTCGATCCGATTATGTTTCTACTGGAAAGATCCGCCATTTTGTGTTCGAAACGCCATCTTGTCCGACCCTGACGCGCCAGGCGGTCGCCGCACGGTCACGTGCCGTGCGCGGCCGTCGAATCCGCAGGGTGGCCGGAAGTCGATGCGGCCAAGACTTGACTTCGTTGTAATAAATCGTGTCGAGGGGACTCGAGCTCTTCCGGTCACGTGACGTTCGGCCAGCCCCGGTGAAACGCGACCAACGACCTACACACGTGCACACGCGAACACAAAGATACGCACACACTGACAAGGGAAGCGTATAAACCGTTGGCGCGACCGAATAAAGTTAATTACGTTAATTGATACTAAACGTTGACGTTGACTATGTGATCGGGGGCGAAATGGAGTACGTTGAAGTGCAACGACGGCGGGATTGATCGGGTCACGTGATGCAGCGATTAATCCCATCGACGTTGCCTGAGTATACATATATATACATATATATTATGTATATGTATACATATATATATATGTATATAAATACGAACACAGCATACATAGATACATATATATAAATATGCAAACACGAACAGAACACACGTATACACACGAGACACACGTACACTCAATATATTGATAATATATTATGATATTCTATGATACACACTGTTTCGTAATATATTATTAATTTTCGATAGTAACGGAGCGTATTACGTTGTCCACGAGATTAAAGGTGATCCGACCGTGCACATTTCAATTCGTTCTTTCCGACGTGATCGAATCCCGAAGATGTTCAGCTCCCCCGGGAAACACTACTGACGACTTAGCGAGGAGAACCACAGGAAACCCCCTCCCAGAGACAGATAATGAACGAACGAACGAAACGAGAGGAGAACCAAACGTAACCGCAAGATCGATACGCGAACCACGAGATCGAGATTTTCGCGGCCGGAGCAGCGGATCGTTCGATCCTTCGTTCTCTAGGGTGAACGTTTCAGGTTTGCCCATCGGTCCACGAGACAACGAGAAAGGGAAACGAAGAGTCGTTCGGTCCGTTGCGACGAAACGGCCACTTCGCTCGGATTCGTGACGAAGGGGACGATTCGCCAGGCTCAGAAAATCATCGAGCGTTTGTTTCCACCAGAAACGTTTGGACCTGGTTCGTCTTGTCCGTCATTGTTTCATTTTGAATGCGT